GTAACTTGAAACTAGCTGTTAGAATCTGCTCTCAATGAAAACTAACAGGACTTAACACCATGGCCTGTGGCATTCTCATTTCCCAAAGCAGTTTCTAAGTTTTGTGGGGGGGAGAGGGTTGTAAACATTCAGCTTGAAGAAGAGATCTAGTGAACTCAAAACCTGTTTTGTGTATTATCAGGTTTCTCTAACAAAAGGTATTACAGAGATTGTGTTCCTAAATTGTATTGCCACTCACAACACATACCTATTCTTTTTAATTTTATGGAACAATTAAACTTTAGAAATGGAACACTTTTCCCAGATAAATAAATTTTTCTACATACATATCTATTCCCAAAACTCAGTTTTTAACATTACTAATAACACTAGTAATAGAAGAAGAAGAGATTGGATTTATACCCCGCTCTTCACTACCCAAAGGTGTCTCCAAGCGGCTTACAAACTCCTTTCCATTCCCCTCCCCACAAAAGACACCCTCAGTGTTCCCTCTAAGCTGAGTTAGTATGAGCTAGCTCACAGTTTTTTAGCCTCCGGCTCACACCTTTTTGTCTTAGCTCAGGAAGGAGGGCTCCAGAGCAAACTAATTTATGCAGTAGCCAAATCGTTTGCTCATAACTTTAACGCCAGTAGCTCACAAAGTAGAATTTTTGCTCACAAGACTTCACAGCTTAGAGGGAACATTGGACACCCTGTGAGGTAGGTGGGGCTGAGAGAACTCTGACAGAGACCACTCTTTTTCAAGAACAGCTGTGCCAGAATTATGGCTTGCCCAAGGTTATCCAAGCCAAGTTCAAGTGGAGGAGTGAGGAATCAAACCCGGTACTTCCAGATTACAGTCCATGCACTTAAACACTACACCAAACTGGCTCCTTTGCTTTGTTATTTTCAGAAATACATTCATTGCAATAAATATCTATTTTTAAATCAGACTTCTGTCTACTTCCCAAACCAAAAATGTCAAGCCACTTTGCAGTGAAGGAGTACCAAAGCAAGATCTGGTCAATTTCAGCCTAGTCTTTTCACTAAAGTAAAGTTTAAACGGCAAAGTATAGCCCTTGCAGCATGATAAGAGAGCTGTGTAAGGCTTGGGAATGCCAGTAGCTTATCTGTTTTGTATGTCTAGCAATACAACTGGCTAGGTGACAGGGTGAGCACTGAGCAAACAAGTTTCTGCTACATTGACTTTATTTATTTTTATTTATTTTGGATTTATATCCCATCCTTCCAAACAGCTCAGGGCAGCTAACATACAGCTAGTGCCAGGTTGAATAGGTAAAATACAATAAAACAGCCTTAAACATCCACAATTTTTTCATTGCAATTTCCAATTCAGGACACACAACTGTGGATAAAGTGCAAACAACAACTAGTGCCTGCTAGAGGGTTTCAAGCAGCTTTCTTGCTGTTGAAACCTGGTATTTATTTAAAAGATACAGCAGGATGATTGATTGATTTAATTTATACCCTGCCCTCCCCTCCGAAGCAGGCTCAGGGAGGCTTAAAAAGCCATTGACATCATAAAAACATTAAGACAATAAAAACAAGTTAGAATCATATAAACAAATTCCAAATGTGCTACATATATGCAATGGCAAAGACTGTCCTGATCGCCGCAATAAATATATGGCTGATGTCTGGCTCCTTGATGCATTGTTCCTCAGTGTGGGCACAGATGTTAGAGCAGGCAGCCAGGATGGATTATAGGGCATAGGTTACCCGGTTGGTGTTGGGTAATGTAATGTAGCTGCCAACCAAAGGGCTAAGCTAACAATGTATATTATAAAAGTACAAATATTTATTAGGGTGTACACATGTTAAAACATATACTGATAAAAATCTTTATCTAAGTACCAGACTTATAAAAACTTATCTATATACTGATAACGAAAGGCACCCCCTGCATGCGGATATCTAAATCCGCACATCGGGGCACCTGGGGGGCAGGAAGATTTTCCTGCACACTTGGGGCAGTCCCCAGGTGTACACAAAAATCTGAAAAGGTGAAAAAAATATCGGGGGATATTTAACCCCCAAAAAAATAAAAGAGCGTCCCCTATGCATGTGCAGGGAACGCTCCGTGAACTGGGGAGCCGGGGGGGAGAGACTGGCGAGGCCCGGCGGCTACAAGACGCTTGGGCCTCGCTTCGGAGCCGGGGGGCAGAGACCAGCGAGGCCCAGCAGCTGCAAGCCACTCAGGCCTTGCCCCCTGAGCCAGGGGTGGGGGGTGGAGGAGCCGGGGGGAGAGACCGGCAAGGCCCAGCGGCTGCAAGCCACTCGAGCCTCGCCCCCTGAGCCGGGGGTGGTGGTGGAGGGTGGTGGTGGAGGAGACGGGGGGGA